CCGCTGTGGCGTGAACCCGCCCCGTCTACGGTTTAGGGTTTAAAGCTCCTGATTTGGGCCGAGGGTTTAGGGTTTAGGGTTTAGGGTTTAGGGTTTAGGGTTTGGCGCGCTCAGGAAATCAACTGGGGAGAAGCCCCGGCTGGCTGGCGGTCTGCTTGGAGGTTTTCTCTTCCTTTTGTTTTTAATTATTTCGAAAAGACTTTTAAACATTCTCTCCGCTTAAACCTCGAAGACTACCTCTAAACCCTAAACCCTAAACCCTAAACCCTAAACCCTCGCTGCAGCGCAAGCCAGCGCACCACACAACTGCAGACGCATGCAACAAGAAATAAATTTTATTGTTTATCATAAGTATATGTCATTTAGTTATTTATTTAAAATAGTTGAATAAATATTATAATTTATTTAACTATTTTTAATCCAAAAAATGGACCTCGCGCAGTTTAGAAGTGCAGGGCGTTCGGGTGTACGTACACCTCAAAGAGAAAAGGACCTTCTAAAGTTGCACTAAACTTTTTTTTCTGATTTATTTCTTTTTGAAGTTTTTCTTCTTTTTTGCAATTCTACAAAGATTTTTGTTTGTTTGAGCGTAAACCCTAAACCCTACACCGTAAACCCTTTAACAGGCATTGAAGACTGCGAAGTTACTTCCTAAGGGAGCTACACTAGCTGAAGCTGCTTAACACCCTAAACCCTAAACCCTAGTCCCCAACTGCTACATGTTAAACCCTAAACCCTAAACCCTAGTTTGCAGCTGTTCAACTCTAAACCCTAAATCCTAAACCCTCGCGGGGTTGGCGAATAGAAGAAATGATCGGATTTGGAGTTTTTGTTTGTGGATGTTGAAGCAGAGGAATAATAAAATTATAAATATAATTATAATTAAAATATAAATATAATTACAATTATAAATATAAATAAAAAGAGAAAAAAGCAGAAGGCAAAGAAGTCGCACTTGTGCAAAAAGAAGAAAACGAAAAAGTCAATAAACACCAATACAAACAAATGCAATAAATATAAACATAAATATAATATAAATATAAACATAAGTATAAATATAATATTAATATAAATATAAATATTAATGCAAACATAAATAAAGGAATTGGAATTAATTCAGTCGCGCGCTCAAACTCAGGTGTACGTACACCTCAAGTCCCACAGCTTCATC